ATTTTGTAATGCGGACCAAAATTTCGAAGATCTTCGGCCGTTAGCCAATCAAAATCGAGGATCTGCCGCGCATTTTTGTGCGGCACCTAGGGTAAATGGCTTAAGCCAACTGTGCCACCAACCTGGCACACATTCAGAAAAAAATAAAAATATATTAGAAGAAAAATGTGAATTAAAATTTTTATTGTAATTTGCAAAGTGATGTGTATCTTTGGTACGTCTATACAGACACCTAATTATCATCCGATTGCGCAATTGTACACGATAATCACACAATCGGACAATAATCAGGTGACTGTATAGGGAGTTGCGGTATACAATTAGGTTAAAGATATATTATTTTGCATAGCCAATCATTTGTCAAATTACCGTATTCGACAATTTGCCTAATAATGGCAATTTATGATCATGATTGGTAGGGAGTGTTTTAATTTGATTATTAGAATAACCATAATTATATCGTAATACATGAAAAAAAAATAACAAAAGGAATGAGCTTGCCGGATAATAAATTTAATAAATTGTTATTCGGAAGAATATCGTCGTAAATTACCGGATAAATCCGTTATCAGTTATGCAGGTGTTTTAAAACTAAGATCAGTCTAAGTTGAATTCTTTCGGAATTCGTTTTCTTAATCTGAGCTTAAATCCTTGATCAAATAACCAGTTATCAGGTAGTGCCTGCCTGATAACTGTAATAATTTAAAAATTTTTTTTAAAGAAAATTTTAATTAGATAATTTTTTTAAGAATAATATTATTGCGGTTTGCCCCTGATTAATTTTTTTATTGCGATCGCGATTGCTAAAGCTGGTCAATTTATCATAAATTTGAGCTTGACACAAACCCAGATTCATGATAAATTGGCTATCCCAATCATTTAAAAATTAATCATAGGGTCACAAAATCATGCAAACCGCAATAATTTAAACCGGTAAATATTGATATCTAATTAAGAAAAGGGTTAGATATTAAGTAAAAATGCACAGAACACCCCAAAACCTTGTGTAATTTAAATTTAAACTATTATATATAGCTAAGACTTAGTAATAACTCATTTTTTAGCAAAATATTATTATAAAATAGGGTAGATACCGAAATCCCCGGTGTCAACATAATATATATTATTTTGGTTTGATTTATTGCGGTTTGCAAAATGATGTGGCTTTGATCAAATTGTAGACCGCGGCTTACCTATACAGTCACCTCAATTCTGCAACTTCAAAACAGATATAATCTTTATTAAACAATATATATATAACATCATAATCAATTATTACTATTATAGGCACAAAAACTGCACAAGTTTCTTGGTATATAAATAAAAAATCTAAACTGAACAGTGAAAAGTCTAAAATTTCTAATTAATCAATATCAGAAAATATTAAAGAAATGAATTTAGATAATAACAATAATGATAATAATGTAAATAAAGATTGTGATATAGACAAATTTATGAATAACTTAAATCAAATATCAGGTAGATTAATAGATAATATGTTTTTAATACAAATTAGAAGAAACTATTCCAAAATTTATAGATATTTTTAATTCTAAAAGTGTTAAACAATCGCTAATTGTTATATTCAGCAATCATTTAGATATTAAGTTAGTTTTAAATTAAATAATCATATAAAGAATTTAATCATAAATATTATGTAGCATTTAAGCTTGACAATTTAAGTAATTCCATTAACAATTAAAAAATTTTCTTTTCAATAAAAAGAATACTTTTTAAACAAATATAAAACAAATAAAAACAGTAATTTGAAGAGTTTAAAGATAGAAGAAATTCTTAGTAGATATAATCTCTTAAGCTAGAAAAAAGATCAAAAATCATAAAAAAAATTGATGCTAGTTCTATTTTTTTCTTTAAAAATGCACAATTTAGTTCAAAACTTAGTAGAGTTAAAATAAAACTTGTATAGACCATCTCTAGATCTATATATGTTTAAAAATTATAACAAAGAAATCAAAATTGAAAGCAATTCTCGATTTTAATAAAAGATTGTGAAATGTTTCAATGTTTTATCTATAGATTGGTAAATTAGTTCTCTTTCGGGTCAATAATAAGTAATTGGGCATAATTTTTTTTTTTTTTTTTTTTTTTTTTTTTACAAAAACTCAGTTATATCGTGATCCAATAATCCAAATTGGATGAATTTGATATCATTCGATTCGTCTCAATGAGACGAATCGAATGGTACAAAATCATTCAATTCGAATCACTGGATCGTAACATATTCTCGAAAAACTATTATGAATTAGGGCAGAATTAGGGCACGTTTGCCGTAATTCATTGAATCATTATTTGCGAATACCTTGTGATCCGGTGATTCAAATTTGATGATTTTGTACCATTCACCGAGACGAATCAAACCATCCAATTTGGATCACTGTATCACGGTACCAATTACGGCACACTATTAATAAGATTTAATAAGTTGGATTTTAGTCCGCAAATAAGCAAATAAGCAAATAAGAAGTAGACTATCTGAACCAGAGCACAAAGTTTCCGAGTGACGTAACCTGCTTTTTCGCCGGCAATATTCTTTTTAATCCGAGGTTCAAATATAATAGCCAATGAAAATTTGTCTAACGTAAATTTTCCGACCGATGAAAAGTCGAGCCGGAAATTGTCTTACGTAGACGGAAATTTCCGATAGATTTTGTGAAAAAATATTGCATAAAGTGTTAGCAACTTTTCATTTCTTCTATATCCCGTACCAATTAGTTGCGCCATATATTGTTAATTCATTATTAATAATTCGGTCGATCATTAATAATCAATATTGATTATTAATAACTCCGAAGTTCCATCGATTCAAATTTTATGCATTTTTATTTTTGATTTGAAATGAACTAAGACGTAATACTGTAATAAGTAAAACCAATAAAATCTTCGAGTAAATAATAAACTTTTACAGAAGAAATAAATTTTTAATATCGCAACCAATTTCATTATAAGTATTAATGTTTTTTCTATAGGTATAGCGAAGTTGGTAATGTGGTTATCGTAATACATATCACTTGTACTAGTACTATTTTAGATGATGATTTTCAGTTCGGGTACCCATCAAAAAAATATCAAATCAGTTCGGATATTTTTTTGCTTAAAACAGAACCCTATTTGGATTACGGATTTATACTTTAAAATCCGAACTTTTATGGGACTCTATACTAGGCACGTACACTACCAAAACTGGTTAACACATCAAGAGCGCCACCGATATCAAAAATTCTTAAAATGATTATAACTATATAGCGAATAGATCTAAAAAATATGTTACATAAAATTTAACTTTTATTTAAATTTGGAGAACTAAAAAATAATTATTATCCAATTGTATAACATGTAAATCTTAAATTCATGTGAAAGTATCTTCCGTGTTCAAATTTAAACTTCCAAAGCCATATAATTAGTAAGTATGTAGAATGCATATAGTTAATTCTTTTAATCACTAAATAATGGGGGAAAAAGTCGTCATAATGGGAAGAGATATATATATATATTTAAAAAAAAAATTAGTAGATCACATTATTTTTAACTTATTGTATGTTATGTCAATCTAATAAACAATTCCCTTTAGCGTTAGTAGGTATTAATTTTATTATTTAATCTAATTTTGGTTGAAAGTTAAACCTAACGAACGAATTTTGTGCCACTTTTGCATAACAGTATATATAATCAGTTCTGATAAGGATTGTACCAAATTAATCGTAAAAAAAAAAAAAAAAAAAAAACAATTATAAAGTTAGTTTAGGTACTATTAAGTTGATCAGTTCAAAAAAATAGAACGATACGCATTAATTTTTTAAAACAATGCCATTTAAATATCAACCGATTAATGACTATGATAATAATAGTGTAAATCGTCGTTTTCTGAAAAAGATTATTGTAGCAATTATTATTATAATCGTAATTTGCATTCTCACTATTTTAGCATTATGTAATTATCTTTTTTTTTTTTTAATAATGTTAATCATGTAAATATGTCACTTTGACCGTATTGACATGTTCTTATTATAGGGAAAAAACCAAAAGATCCAGAAAACTCGTACCTTATAATAGCAAAACATGGTGCTGTAGCCACAGAGTTAGATGAATGTTCTGATATCGGAATAGATGGTATGGTTGGAATTTATGATTTTTTTTGTTAATCTTCAAAAACCTGAAAAGCCTGTGCACAGTACTAGAAAATTCTATTATTTTGTTATATAGTATTGAAAGAAGGTGGATCAGCTGTCGATGCAGCAATCGCGGCTCAACTTTGTGTTGGTACTATTAATGCATTTTCTGCTGGTATTGGAGGGTACGTGTCATTAAAATCATTATTACTTACATTTATTATATATTTTCTACCAAATAATATTCATGTCGGTTTTTTTTTTCTTGTAAACTCCGTTAGTGGAGGGTTTATGATGATTCGCTTACCAAATGGAACAGCAGAATTTATCGATTCTCGAGAAACTGCGCCACAGGGAGCGTATAAAAACATGTTTGTTAAGAATCCTCTTTCTTCTTCTATCGGTGGCCTTTCAGTTGGTGTTCCGTAAGCTTTTATTTATATTGCATTTACTATTGATTCAATTTTCTTAATATATAGAAATCTAAAATTTTAACCATTTTTAATTTGTAGTGGAGAGATTTATGGAATGAAGCTTGCGCATGAACGGTATTTATTTTACAATTTATTTTATTTTTTATTTTATTTTTTGTCTGTTTTATTTACAGTAAATTCATATTCATCCATGAATTCAAACGTGAATTTAGTTATGGAAAATTGCCATGGAAGCGTTTATTTGAGCCATCGATAAAACTAAGTAGAGATGGGTTTCCTGTTGGTCGAGAACTTGGGATAAGATTAAAGGTAAATTTAATAATCGCATGTAATTTGTATAGATATTTCGTTTCATTAATTTTAATTTTAATTGTCCTTTTCTTGGATGCTGTGATTAAATAAGATGTATAAAGATATATTGGAACAAGATCCTGCTCTGTCAGCGATCTACGCTCCCTCGGGTAAACTCTTGAAGGAGGGTGAAATAGTATATCGTCGTAATTTTTCAAGAACTTTAGAACTTATCTCTAAGAATTACACTGAATTTTATGAGGTATGTATTTTTTTTTAAATCCTATCTTATTATTTATTTTCAACTATTCTAACCTCATCGGTGCTTGCTTGTTAACATTCTTCGCATTGAAAAATAGGGAAGCATAGCACGATCATTGATCGAAGAAATAAATAGACAAGGTGGTAATATGACGTATGATGATTTTAAAAATTACAAATCTATTATACGTGAACCTGTAATTGGCTATTTTCATGGAAGAAAGGTTGATATATATTTTTTTTTCAAAGAAGTTCATTAATTTTGGTTCTATTATTGTTTATAACCGAAACGTATAAAAAAATTTTAGATTATTACAACGTCGGAACCTACAAGTGGACCATCCCTCATATTTATGCTAAATTTGTTGGAAAATTATGGGATGTCTAGATTAGACGGAACAAACATTCAGAGGTATTTATTTATGTATTAATATGAGATAAAATGTTCATGACAGTATATATTTATACGAATATTTTTAAATAGGATTGTAGAAGTGATGAAATGTAAGTTACGCGTAATGTTTGATTTTATTAGTTCTTCAGCCTAACTTCTGAACTTTCTTATTTATTAGTCGGGTTCGCAAGGCGCACTGAAATGGGTGATCCAGAATATGTAATATCCTTAATTAGTTATAAGATTTAATAGTCTTAATTTATTAACAATGTTGATTTCTTTACCTGCCTTTTTCTTTTTTCTTAAGTTCCGTGATCAAGCTGCACACGAAGCTCGAATACAAGAAATAATTTCAAAAGAATATGCAGCATTGGTTCGGCCTAATATTTCTGATGTGAGTTCGTATTCACAAAAATAAAGTTTTTATTAAACTTAACTACGTACGATAATATACTAAATTTATATTATCATAGACTCAAACATTCGACCCTAACTACTATAACCCATTATTTGATCAAACAAATGATCATGGAACCACTCATGTATCAGTTTTAGACGTTAATGACATGGCCGTTTCACTTTCTTCTACTGTTTGTATTATCTTTTTTTTAAACCTTTTTTCAATTTTTACAGAACTTAGTTTGATTTTACATACATATCTTGCGTATCTTGAATAGGTGAACTTAGTTTGGGGATCTCAAGTTTTAGATCCTATAACCGGAATATTGCTAAATGACGAAATGGATGATTTTTCTGTTCCTGGACGACCAAATACTTTCGGACTTTGGCCTTCTCCTTACAATTTTGTTTGTATGTTTTGTTTCTTTGAATAATTTTTTATATTGCACTTTTATATTTTGTATATATTTATCTTGGTGAATTAATAATAGCTCCTGGAAAAAGGCCACTGTCATCAACAGTTCCAACAATTGTTGAAAATGAAAACGGGAAAGTTGAATTAGTTACTGGTGGTAGTGGTGGATCTAAAATTTTAACTGCTGTTTTACAGGTATTCTTCTTATTACAAATTTTTATAGTTTATGTACAGTACATGTGTTTATACATATATATATATTGCTTTGGATTTTTTTTAAATGATAGGTATTATTAAACGTATATGACTTCGATATGAGCTTGTTGGATGCCATCAATTTTCCTAGAGTTCATCATCAATTATTACCCAATTTAGTAAGTATTTATTTAATTCGATCAAATTTTACAACTTGAATAATTTATATTAATGTAAAATGCAGATAAAAGTAGAACAAGGACTTAATTACGAGTTAGTCGATAAATTATTAACAATTGGACATGATGTAAGCATTTTATATTTTTCTTTTTGCTTATTCTTAATTTTTAGCCTTTTAATGGTTTATTTTTTATTGATAGGTCCTATTACATAATATAGAAGATAGAGTTCATTCATGTCAAGTACAGGCTGTTAGAAAATTTGAAGACGGAACTATTCATGGTATGTTTTTTTAAAAATCGTGTCATCACGTATATTTTTTTTTTACATCTAAATTTGTTTTACTCGTATATAGCTGTGAGTGATTTCAGAAAGAATGGAATCGCTGCCGGATATTAATAAATAAAATAGTATAGTTATATAGTTTTTGAATAGAAACTTAATTGGTTTTATTAATTCCTTTAATTCGGATTAGCTTACAAGTAATATAAAAATTTATATGATTACTTTAAGTATGAGATGGTTTTTTTAATTGTTCTTAACTATTGAATATCAGAGATTGTGATTTGGAGCGACGTATACGATAGTTTCAACCAAAGCGTTGCAAAAATGTAAATTATCTAAATTTCATGTTCAGATAAGAAACGGATATGCTACTCTTCGTTTACATATGTATATATTCATATAGAAGTTGTTTGATTTTCCATAAGTTTATCGAATACTACGAATATATGAGTGCAGCAAGGAAACCTAAACATTTCACTGTACCAGACTTAAATTCAAAAAATTGTGATATGAATTACATAAAAGTTTTCTTATAAAAAACTCTTGTAATATTCTTCTTAAATTTGGCGGATTTACGAAGCTTGGTGTTCCTAGTTGCGCAAAGTTATCCAGCTTCTCTTTTGAGAGTTGGTAACAGTAAGAATATTCTTCGAGATCTGGCGGATTTAATTTAAAGTAAATCTGCAGAAATATTCTCTTTAATCCATAAGTTAGTTTCTTTAGGCGTCTAACAATCGTGATTCGTTTTTGACTTCTTTTATCCGCAAATTTGTTCTTTGATGGTACCAAGGTAGGGAGGGGTGCTTGTATTTATAAAAATTTTTCAACAAGCTAATACGTAATAACGATAATAACACCATAGCCATAATTACCCAAAAAGGTAAAGCGGTTTTGTGGCAGTAAAGCAAAATCATACCGATACGATTATTGTATTAAACTTTACTGATAAAAATGAAATAAATCATGCTACTACAAAACAAGCAATGCATGATACGGGAAGTACTTACCAACATGCAGGTTTTACCTTGTTTTATATGACGTAAATCAACAAAGAAACAATTAAATATATTTTATTAAAGCGAGTTAAAGCCAGCTTCTCGTTGTATTTGTGTACCAAAACGACCAGAATACTAATCGTACGGTGATATTTTAAAAAGATACTGATGAAAATAGTTTCACCAATTTCACCAACTCAACGCCAGCTTCATAATAATAATAGTGATGAAATTATTTACCGCTTTAATTTATTTCACCAGCACTTTAGGTTTTCCTTGACAGCACTCTTAATTAAAAATCATCGCTTAATCGATTTCCGAACTTTTTAATTCGATTGAATTAATAATATACTGTAAATATCTTTCCACCTAAGATCAATCTATCTTTACGACCCAGAATCGAAAGGCGTTTATCTCCTCGCCTTGACTGAAAATTCAGAAATTAATAGAAAACATGGTTTTATTAATTTTGAATCGTATAACTACTAATCAAAGTCGATTCATAATCTCGAATATTCTGTAAATAGATTCTTGTTGTGTCTAACGCAAAAAAATATAGTGCAAATAAAAAGAATTTAAATTTCAAATTTATAAATATTTAAACAAATATTTAAACAAATATTTAAACAATTATTCGGAATGAAATCAATTTTTTTAGACGAGTATGGAACTAAAATACACAAGATGTACAAATTTATAAATATTTACAAATTTTATGATGTAATTGAATAAAAAATTCTATTTGATTCACAGGTTGAGTTCATAAAAATTCATTTAAGGGGTTGAATTCACAAAATTTTAAAAGATTTTTCCCAAAGGTAAAGATGTTATTCTATTGAAATTTTTTTTTCAAATGTAAAAGTGACATTATTAAAAAAAAAATTTTTTTTTTTCAGAAAATGGAAAGATTCACAGTACGAGAGTGGGTTGAACTTATTTCAAACCCTATTACTTTCGGAATTCAAGATCAACGAATCATTAATCATAAAGATTTGCCTGTGGTGAGAGATGAAGTTTCAATAACATTGAGGCTGAAACTTCAAAGTCATACTTCAAGCTGGGCTACTATTTTTCATAAAGGTAGAGCTAGATACTGTATATTTTTGCATAAAATGCTTATCAAACTAATATATTTTGTAAAATATACAAAATTCAGGTACAGCAGATTTAATTCGTACTCCTGGACTCTGGTTGACAGGAAACAAATCAAAATTACATGCTCGCTTCACGGGCAACTGGGATAATAATGCAGGAATTATGGAACTCGGTGATGGGCTTTCGTTACAAAAATGGTATCATATAGCTTACACACTTTCTGACTCGGAAAAAAGGTTAGATGTCTATGTAGATGGTGAATGGCTCGGATTTTACAGTATTCAAGATGTTAAAAAGCAAAAGGTTATCTTTAATGATGGACCACTTCATATTGGTCGAGGCTTCTCTTGGGGTGGATTTAATGGTGAAATTAGGTACAGTACGATTTATTATAAAAATGAAGTTAATTTTAAAAAACAATAAAATATTTAAATGATTATTTTATCAATAGAAATGTTCGTTATTTCAATTGGCGTTTATCGGCTGGGGAAGTGAAAGAAGATTTTATTGTAAGAAATTATTAAAAATTTTACGTTATGATCTTCTAAAAATGTACACTATAAAATTTTGGTTTAATTTTCTAAATTATAGAAAAAACCGATCGTATATGGGTCAAAGATTGCACTTGTTCATGTGCCTACAGGAAAATATTTATCTACTAAAGGAGTTAAATATGACTTGGGACCGAATAATAAGCAAGATATGGTATTTGATATAATTTTTTTTTCATGTTACATAATTAAGCTAGAAAAATTTCGTCATACTGTTATAAAATCTACAAAGGTTATTTGCAGTGGCCGGGAGATAGATCTGATAAATGACGTTTGGACAATTGTTGGGGCTCATGATGAAAGTGTAAATACAGGAAACTCCGTATTTTTTAATATGATATAATTTTTTTTTTTTCATTATAATTAATGCTAGAAAAATTTCGTTATATTTTCATAAACCTTATAAAATCTACAAAGGTTATTTGCAGTGGTCGAGAGATGGATTTGATAAATGATGTTTGGACAATTATTGGAACTAATGATGAAAGTGTAAATACAGGAAATTCTGTATCCTTTAATACAGTAATTGGATTAAAGCATCAAGCGACGGAAATATGTTTACATTCTCATAGTACGAGTTATGGAGTCACACCCAAATCCAAATATCAGCAAGGTATTTATTTTATATAGTTAATTTATTTTGTTTACACAAATTTAAAGCTTATTATAATAAATTTAAATATTCTAGTGACACTCAATTCGGGTAGAAATGTTAACGATGATTGGCAAATTAGGCGTTTTGGTCTTGACGCTTCCTATAGTCGTTTGATGAATGAAGACGTTATTAGTCTTTTTCATATTAATACTGGTAAACCAGCACTTTACAGTCATCCCGTTCTATTGGATGATGGAAGTCAAGAAGTTTGCTGCCATGGAAATGGAAGTGATGAGAATAATAAGGTAAAATTTAAAATATTATATATATTATCTTTATACTAAATGTGTTAATTAAAAAAAAAAAATTGTAATTTTTTTTTTTTTTAGTGGCTCATTAAATTAATTGAATGATAACTCCATTATAAGAAAAGCATGATTATTTGATATAATTCTTTTATACTTCTGACTTCTGATAATATTATATATACAATATAATATATATTATATGCTTTCTACTATACATTGTTAAGATTTATTTATTTGTTAAAAAATTAACAAAACCTATCACGTTTGGCCAATAAACTGCCTGATGCGTATAATTGACCTTTTTTTTGGCGATTAGTATCATATAGAAATTCATAAATCCCTCGAGGTTTCTAAATAACAAAAGTTATAATTTCAGATTTAAAAAGTTTAATACTTAAAAAACTATAGATTTGCCAATAACGATAATCTTTTACGATCACCATTCAAATTTCAAACGCTAGTTTAGATATTGCTTTCAGAAGAATAATTTTTTTAGTATCGTGCACATAAAAACACGTTTGATGTCGCCACTTATTTTAACGAAACAGCTTGTTAAAGTGAATTACTATTGCATATATTGATGTGACTAACGATGTTACAAATAGGTGATTGCATTCAATAATTTATGAAGTATCAATTTTTTTTTTAAATAGATTACGGCGCGTGACAATTGAATTTTTGGCATAGTGTTGCGAGGTATACTTGCCGCCCAAACCCGGACAAATCCCAAACCCCTAAAAAACAATTGCTATTTATAAAAAATTAAATCAAACA